AAGAAGAAGAAGAAGTGAAAAGGCATTACAGAGAAGTGAAAAGAGTTTGTCAACATTTAAATGTCTACATTCATACTCATCAGTTCTTTAATCTGCATTTTTCTCAAAATCTTCCCACAGGTTGAAGACCAGTGACTCTACCCAAAGGGTCTAACCACACGACATGAAGTACAGGAAAATATTTGAGAAAAATATAATTTTTTTGCATAAAAACATTAATTTCTTTTCATGACCTCATATGCTTATTTTAATAGAGAATTAAGAAAATAAATTAAGTATTTCCTATGCTCAGCTCTACACACAAGAAGGCAGAATTTTGTGATTATTCCACTCCATTAAAGCCCTGAGGAAAAATTGATTCTAACACTGTAATACATGTCTATAATACTGATGGAGGCTGCTACAATGCCAGGGGAAAAGTGACCTGCAAGGTGACAGATTACTCACACTAGGGGGAGGGCCCACAATTGTTTGGAAATTTTTTATTACAGCGGGTCCCATAACACTGTGAGAACCTGTCAAACCGCATGGCACAATTTTTCTGGCAGATGAGCTTAATCCAATACTGATAGCCCGCTGTCCATGAAGGACACCTGTCTCTTTGAATTTGATCACATCATATAACTCTATTTCCTATACTAAACCAAACAGATAGAATACATTATCGAAGACTAAGAACAACTAAGATTTCAAACTTCCTAGTAATTATACACGCAGTCCAAGTAGTCAAAACTATTAAAACAACACAGAGACTTCATCTAAGTATGTGTTTAGCAGAACACTCTAGGCAATCAGGATGCACAAATTAATCTGGCAACAATGTCCTTGCAAGAAAAGCACAAGTGCATAGCAGATTACACGCATCACAAATTCATACGGACAGAATGAATCAGACTTCACAGACGTTGACATCGAATACAACCATTGACCCCAAAAAATGGTCCGATGACGTGGCCAACAGATAAGTAGAAACAAATATCCACGTAAGCTTAGATCCCAATACATTTATGACTCAAATCACCCGTTTCTCAGATGAATCAATGACGGGAATGATCCAAAATATTTAGTACGTTGCTGTTTTTGGTTGTTTGGTGCATAAAAAGGGGTCGGCCTTCAGGTGTAGCAGGGAGAATCAAGGTTTACTTTAAATGTGTAAGCTTGCATTAGCCTCTTAACGTATGGAGTGTGGGTTTTTATATCTAATGTCGAGTGAATGAGGTCCGTCCGATGGTAGAAGATCTAACAGTTCTTATTAGTGTCAATCAATCAATCAAGCCATTAATACCGAGATCCCCTTATCTTCAAGACTTAGGATTTGACCATGTAGGTGTGCAGAGGCGGCATTGACAGTGTGTTGTGTTGTCAATCACTTCATTAGGTATGCTGTTAGTTGACTTACCGCCTCTCCATAGATGAGTTTATGCTGGAGACCTCTGCCAACGGGGATCAGATGAGCAGCTTTTGGGTTGGGTTCGCTTCGACACGCTTAGAATCGGGTCGCCCGTTTGCCACGAGGTATGTTTATTTTATGATTATTTATATGAGTAACAACAACACTCTTCTTATATCCCCTGGACCCATATCATAATTCAGTCAATTCAATAAAGAGAGAGAACATCGACTCTACCATAACAAGAAACCATATATTGTAAGAATCAATGGCAAAGAAAAAGAAACAGAAAAAGGAGAAATAATAAAGAACGTACCCAACAAAGTAATAAAACCTTGCCCATATTGCAAAATCTAAAAATATATTTCAATAAATTGCAATTGTTGAATGTGCCGTGAAAAAGAAAACGTTGGTTTTCCAAACAGAAATGATGTGAATGAAGTATAGAAGAATTGAAGAGATGCAGATAAAGCTAACCTCTTTAGGAGAGACGAGAGAAGCAAAAGGAGACGTGGATCGTAGAGATCAAAGGGAAAAGGAAATAGTTGGGTTTCAAAGCGTTAAAACATCCAATTGCGACACGGGAACTACGACTCTAGCCTCGCTGGACACGTGGCATTCGGAAGTTCAAATTAACAATACGATGGATCCCACTTTTGTATTATTGAATATACAGTTGTATTATCAATTCCCATGATAAAGTCATGTTTGTTAATGATTAAAATTAAATTTTTATTAAATTTTGATAAAAATTAATGAAATTGTGGTTGAAAAAATGTGGATTCTATTAAACCATTGTTTGAATGATGAATTTTTTGAGAATGTATAGTTAAAAAATAATAAAATAATTTTAGTTTATGTGTTGAATTGTAACACACTAAAAGTACAATCCAAATTGAATAGGCCAAAGGGTGAAGCCCAATTGGAGGTCCAGGACAAAGGCCCAAATGAGATTATTGGTAAGTGCAGAGGAAACCCATGAACACAATAACATCATCGCTCAAACCTGCATGACGCCCAGAGTTTGAACGAATGGAGTGCCTCACTGTCGTTCAAAGTGACAACCTCGATTTCGCCCAAATCTTCAAGTCGCCCAAAATCCTAATACGTGAGATATTATGGGCATCCAGAATAGCAGTTACTGATGACAGTTATCGAGCTGATTATCACATTCCACGATTTAAGAAGCCCCTTTGAAGGCAGTTGAACAATGATGAGTAATGACAGCAGTTAGAGAAGACAGTTCCACGACAAATTAGGCACCATGAAGAAAATTGGTAACAGTTTCCAAGCGATTTGTCAAGCAAAAATCATCATGGAAATATAAAAGGAAAGAACAGACAGAGAAAAAGACCCCGAATTAAACACTCTCAAATAGAGAATATGTAATTTCAATTTCTTAAATTAACTTTAATTATCTTTATTTTAGTACTCGTGTGTTTGCTTCCCTTAGAGACATTTTGTTTAGTTCCAATTGTAACTCTCATCAATAAAACACGCCTTTTTGAGACTTTGTCTCAAGAGATTTGTCTCTTACACAATCGTCTTAATTTCCTTTTAATTGTTAGTGACTACCCACGCGAAACAATTTGGCACGTCCAGTGGGACATTGGTGTTTGATGACACGAAAACTGAAGCAATATGCCTCATAAAGATTTTGGTAAAGAACAAGCAAGCCAAGGAGTAGTCCAGTTTGTGATCGAACGATATCAGGAGCAGCAAAGTACTC